CTGCTGTTGGCCAGCGAGAGAAGGCCCCTTGCTACATGGGAGTTATGGTCTCTGAGGAGGATGTTCAAGTTTTCAGAGCTTTCAGGTGGCAGGGAAACTGTAACAGAGACTGGCCAGGCTTTAGAATAAGGTTTCCTGCCACCTTCTTTTTGAGAACAAAAACTAATGGTGGCCACTGTGTGGATGGAACTGAATGTGTTCCCCAGATCCTGCTGGATCATGGAACTTCTCTTTGGAAAACATGCAAGCTGTTAATCTTTTAAGAACACATTAAACATCATAGTTTGCATAATTTTTACCTTAAGATTAATATTTACATCAACAAGTATCTTTTGGTAAAGAAATGTCTCACTTTTTTTCCATTTGTTCCTCCAGACATTGTTAAATAACATTGGATTTGACCAGTGGTCCTGGGTGAACAGACCTGATTCTGCAGTGTCTCAGGCATCCCACAGCTTTAAGTAGCAATATGAACAGTGAGCAGAGGGGAGGGGAGAACAGATGGGCTCCTTATCACCTTAAACCCACATCTGAGGCAGGAGACATTCTCATTTACAGTATACAAGACCCTTTGTGAATGTGACATTTCGTCTGTGCTGGAGAGACCTGTTCTAGGGGAATACCCTGCCATGTGTCTGTTCTGTTCTGGCCCCAGTGCTGGAAGAGATCTGTGAACAGCTGGGTTTTACATATCTGTGATTCTTGAGGTTATATTTGAAATGGCTAGGTGAAAATGTATACAGCAAGGAGATTTTGAGACTGTAAAAAGATTTGCTTGCCACACAATGAAGAAAAAAGAGCTGCTACACCTGGAAGCAGCACTGAAGAAGAAAAGTAGGTGAAACAAAAAGTGGCTGTGGAACTTCAAAGGCTTGTTCTGGTTTTGTGTTTAATTTTAGAACTGACCAGCTTGTTGGAAGATGACATTTATTCCTGCTTGAAGCTGGTGTTCTGAAAACAAACAGTAGAAGAATGAGGAAGAATTCAAGCCTCTGCTGCCTTTTAGCACTAGCTATTTTATGTTTAAGAAGCTTAATATATAGCCAAGAGATCGGTGAGTTTTTTGCAATGTAATTCACTAATACCTTTTTTTATAGCTTCTGTACTGGCACTATTTAGTTAGGTTGATCTTCTACTAAATACATGTTCAAAAAGTGTAATTTCTGTGGCCCTACACTATCCTAGGGATGGAGATGGTACCACGCCTGGTCTCTGCTTTCCAGCAACCAGTGGCATCTTGGAAACCAGTGTGAAATTGGGTGTTAAATTCTCCGTAATGCACCTGTGATAGTCTGCATATACAGGTGGTGTAAATGTCCACAGTAAGACCTTCTTGCTGTGCATTCTGGCTGTCTGCAACAATTTCACACACTATCATTAATTGCCCTTCTGTCATTAATTGCCCTCCATGTGGGACAGTGGAAGAGAGCAAAAAACTCATTAAGTTTATCATCAAAGCTTGCGGTTTTGCCATTGGCCCAAAGCCTGCTTATTAGGCTAGGCTAGGAATGGGTATTGTGGAAAGAAACAGCTGCCTGTGTCATTACACACAAGTATAAACCCAGATTTTAGGTACTTCTGGAAATCTGGCAGTCTATGTCCGTCTGTAATCAGGCACAGAAATCACTCAATGGCTTAAAAATTCTGTCCAGACTTGCATTCAATAAAAATGTTAAAAGAATGACTATAGATGTGAACAACAGCAGTTGTTTTACAGCTGGTAATTTTTGACCTGCAGTTTGTGACTGTATTCCTTATATGATTTCAGGTTCTTCGGGGCACCCCAAGAATTTGAAATGTGTAACGCACAATTTACGTAAAATGATCTGCACTTGGGATGGCTCTTCTAAAGGAAGACATGGACAAACTGACTTTTGCTACACTACCAAGTAAGTCCCCTCTATACCTGGTTGAGACCTACCAAATTGTGGTGTAAGTATAGTTATTCCTTGGTCACTTCCCATGGAATTTGTGATATTGTTGTTTCCCAGCATCTCTCCATCAGTTTTCCTTGGGTGGTGCACCTTCCAGGGGTGGTGCACCCTCCAGGCACTGTTAACTCGGGCAGTGGTGGGGTTTCTGGCAAAGTCTTGTTTCATGCTGGCAATTCTCCTGCCAAAATCTCCTGCTTGCTCTCTTCAAAGGACTGGAAGATTCTCTCATTTACTCAGACTTCTCTGTGTGTCTGCCTAGCCCTTGCTCAGTTTTCATGAGGGACATCTTCATACCAGGTTCAGTCCAAAAGGAAATGATAGTTGGAAGGAACAAATCTTGGTGTTAGGGGCCAAAGCAGTAGAATATATGACATAAGTGTTGAGATTCACATGTGGAAAAACATGAAAAGTCTCTTGGTGGCTGTCTTCTAACCTTTATAAATTTTAAGGTGCCTGGAGAGCGTTGTATTAGAGGAAACTTCAAAATTACTCCATGATTACAATAGTCTTTCTGAAGTGAATGCAAGTTGAAATTTTTGAGAAATGCTAAAAACACTTAAATCTTCAGTGTGTTTTTCACTAATGAGAACTCCATGTGCAATTCCCCATGCTGTGGATCTGCCAAATACTTATCATGTGCAAGGGATGAGTTCAAGTCCTTTTTGCATGTTGATCCTGCCCCTAATCCAGATATTTGTACTGTCTTTTTTTTTCCTGTAAATTCTGCAGGCAGCCCAGACTTGTCCTTGGGGTCCTAGGGCTTGGCTGCACTTTTTCCACGTACATGTTTGATTTTCTGTGTCTAGTTATTCCTCCTGCATTGCCAGCTATCATTTCTATACCAAAAAAATCATATATGCAACATTGCAGCCAGAGTTCAGAAGGGTAGAGTTCATGAAGTACTGCCCTCTAAACAAGAACAGTCATGTTGCTACTGCTCTTTCTCCTTAGCAAAGCAGAACAGGCTTTGGGTCCTTGAAGCAAAGAGGTTGAGAGCTGAGCTTAGTGCAGACCTCCCTGAGGAAAAGAGATCTTGTTTTTCAGTTGTCCAAACATCCTCTAATAATATCTCAGTACAGAAGAGCACTATCTGAGCACTCAAGTCTCAGCTGGCCTTTGCTAGCCGAGAGTCTTGCGTGGATCTTTAAAGTTTGACACAAGCTCTTGACTCCAACCGCTGTGAGCTCCACGATCCTGTTCCAGTTCATGAGTGAGTAACAGTCCCTC